TATGCTAATGAGCCACCCTCGCTCCATTTGAAAAAATTGAGATATGATTAAAAATACCATTTGGGCATCTTTTAACCGGCCAGGACAAGGAACTAAAAAAATTAGACGATCAATTCTATTTTTCCAAGGCTCCTTGATTAAAAATTAGCGTTTTTAATATAGCCATGGCACTCTAGATTGAAATTTAAAATACGATTTTTTATTAAGCGAGAATGCCAAAAGTTGACATATGATATGTCATACAATTCACAATGTAATTTTCTATCGAATAAAGTAAAAATATACTGAGGGTGCCATTTAAAAATCATGAGTTGTAGTCACTTCCGATGAAACAGGAATTGACCAAAAACAATTGAACACGTCAATCAATCTTAATTTATGAAATATACTAACATACCAAATCTCGTTTTTTTATCTAAAAAAAATAAAAAAGTTATAGGGGTGAGCCACTTTTGAGGCGCACCCGGTATATAAAGTTGTCGTAAGGCTACACTGAACTATGTTTTCAGATTAAATGCCTTCTAATTACTAAATAGTAGTTCTATAAAAATAGGTGACTCGGCCAAATAAGAAAGAAAAAGGATTTATCATAAAACTTATATTATTCAAACGTATTAATACATGATAATATGAAATTTTCCCCCTAAGTATCTGCTAGGAAAGGTAAAATATCTGGGTGTTTTAAAGCTCGACAACTTAGAAGTTATACGACATACGGTACGGCATTGTTGTTCCGATCCCGTTTCAAATATCGTTTTCGACTTTTACCACTTTCCGTTCGCTCAAAACTGCCAGCTGTTTTGCATGCTATAATGAAAAGACATTTTAGACGGTTTCCCAGACCGTCATACAACGCAAACAGCCCTTGATTATGGCCCCCGTTTTACTGCACTACTTATAACTTGCCTTCACTGTGATACGTTCAAATTTCGTCACGTTCCGCAAAAATCATCCGCAACCAGCCAGCTTATTCCCGAGTTAAATAATTCAGATTGCCAAATGCATACGGTTTGATTTTACCGTACCAACTACGAGTGATTTATAGTGTGATTAAGCACGCACAGCTTAGGATGTAGCTTAATATGCTTGTATTAGAAAAACATATTAAACTGCAATCGTAAAATGAAATATTATGCATAAAAATTTCTCTTTAAACTCTTATTATTTGTGTATTTCAACAATATACAGGATGGTCCGAATTGTAGTAGCTTTACTTTAAATGACGATCAATTTAAAGTTTAATATTCTTTGACATATAATAATTTGATATTTTTATACAGGGTGCTCCGAATTATATTCGGAAACTTCAGCAACATATTCTACTGGTAAAAATAAATAAAAAAGTTTGTATTATTTTTATTTCGAATTTTTCCTTATAATGTCTGAACTAACGTCGATCTTTGTATGAAATTTGGTGTCTGGGAGGGAGTTTTTTGACATTATTATATTTTATAGGCTACTTGCAGAGGGCGCCTCCTACATAATTTTTAAATTGCTTGAACAGTAATAACTTTTCGTCCGTACCTGTATAAAACTACTGATTTAAAAATATATATTTTTGTCGTATTTTACGTAAAAATGGCCTCTTGGTAAAAATCGCTACGAGTAATGGAATCGAGATATTTGGAATCGAAATAATCAATACATGTGATCATTGACATAAATTAAACATATTGAATGGAGAGTTATTAGACTGAAATAATAATAAATAAGATTTTTTTGTCAAAGGTTCAACAGAAATTAACTTAACTGATTTTTTTCGAAGAAAAATCTCCGATTAATTTAAAGAAATAAAAAATTTATCATTTCAGTCAAATAACTATCTACTCAACATGTTTATTTTTTGTAAATATTGACATGTATTGACTATTTCCATTCTAAATATATTCAGAATAGTTGCTTGTAGCGATTTTTACAAAGAGACCTTTTTTACGTAAAAAATTGCGGAAATGTATATTTTTGCACTCAGTAGTTTTATACAGGTATGAACGTATGAATGAAAATGAAATATTAGTCTTCAAAACAATTAAAAAACATGGAGCTGGCGCCCTCTTCAGGTAGGAGTTATATTGACACCGAAATCAAATTTCTCACGTCAAAAAACTTCCAGACACCAATTTTCATACACATATTTACGTTTGTTCAAAAATTACTTGGAAAAAATCGAAATAAAAATGAAACTTCTACACCCTGTATCTCCAAAACGAAGCATTTTAGGACATACAGTTATACGAACTTTTTTTATTTATTTTTATCGGTCGCTGCCGAAATTTCCCGAATACAATTCGGAGCCACCCTGTATAAAAATATATCAAATTATTATAATTATATGTCAAAGAATATTGAACTTTAAATTGATAACTTTTGTTTACGCTTTAGAGTTATTTAAAATAAGACTACTACACTATTTCCTTTTATCTAGATAGTTTCTTCTTTATAAGGAAAAGGCTGGCGTTGTTTTGATGTAGATCAAGATTGAAAATAAGTTTTCTTCCTTGTATGTTTCGTCGTATTCTCCGACCGAAAGCTGTTTGCAAGAACATTTAGCTTGAAACCTCTTTAAATGCATAACATTCCAGGCCGCGATGCTTACTGCCTTACTTTTCAGAATTGGTTTTCCGATTTAAAAAGAAAATCGTATCGATTCCTGATTAAATATATTAATTTAGAGGGCGACAGTTTTTTAAATTCGGCAGCCTACGCCAATATGGCCGTCGTCAGCCATTTTAAAGTGGCATCATTTTATTTTTCGTATTCGCTTCAGCAAACCTTTTCATTTAGTTCACATATCATTAGGGCAGATAAGGAAATTTTGTCCGACATCTTAGATCGTCCGCCGTTTTAACGATTTATGTATGGAAATTAGTAAAATCATAAACTACCCCTATAATAAGGGTTGCAGGAGGATGAAGCTACTGTCATTCGCTTACAGAGATTTAAGGCACTTGTTACAAAAAAAAATTGTAAAACAGTACAATATAATATATTTCTTAATTGTTTATTGGTAATGTTAATGAATATTTTTGTTTAAATAATTTATAATTCCCTGCACAAATATTAATTATATTGAGTGTTAAACAAAATATCCAGTAATCATATTTTTAATCTTTATGTAGTATATGGTAGATTTTAGAACGAATGGCATATGTTTTGATAGTTTTTGGCTAAAAATAATTAATAATTATTGTTAATTAATTAATTTACCACAATACCAGCTAACCAAACCAAACCAGAAATAGTTTTTAGTTAATATCTGATAAGTAAATATATTTTTAAGGATGGTAAAATTAAATATTATTGTTAAAAAATAAATATAAACATTTTATTTAGAACTAAATACATATATCATATTTATATCATCGTCCCCTCTTTCATCTATGTGCGACATTGAGGAACATATATAATATTAAAAAAAAAATGTTTTTAAAATCCCTAACTACAAATAAAAAAGTAAGTTTACAAAAGGCAAGCTACTTTACACCGATTTTTCGTTGAAAGGTTTTTAGGGAGGAGTGGACTGGCACTTGACCATTAACCAGGATCAATTAATCACGGCCTGAATATGATTATGGTGGTGTGTAGCAAAATGGCGCGTCGCATTACAGCATCCTATTTCAATTAATTATTGATGAGACCACATATAACAAAAGGATTCTACATTGTACCCTCGGCCTATACATGTGTTCATTCTAACAGTTCGTCCTGCCATTTTTTGCAACGTTTTCTCAAAGGACAAACTTCACCATTATTTTGCGATTTTTTTTAAAGAAATTTAATTTTAAATTATACACAGTATAATACAAAAACTGATGATGAATTTTAGCCACAATAAATAATTGTTTCATATATAAATTTGAAAAGTAAAGATAAATAGTTAAAGTTCCTCGATGAGACTCAAAATGAACACAAAATTCTCAGTGGAATAATTCACTTTATTAGGGACCGGTGTTAACTTAATTATTCCCTATTAGAGGGAAACAAATGTTTATAACTATTTTTGATTTTATAACGAAAAAATGCTTATCTATGTCTTTTTTATTCGTGTGCCATACATATAAATTTTACCAGCTTACAATTAATAATAATTTCTCTAGACAGATCTCTTCAAAACTCCTTTAAATCATATATTACACTATTTTGCATCGTACTACTTTACGATTTAAATTTTTAATCAGAATATGACATTTTTTTGAATTTGAACGTTAATTTAAATAAAAATAAATGAAATTCAGTTTGAATAGCGATGCAGACATAAAAATCTAAGTTACCTTTCCTATTTGATTAGGTTTTTTATCAGTTTGTCCCAATCTCCAATAAAGAAGTTACTTTACTTTCCGAAGAAAACCGTTAAATTTTAAGGAGCATTACCGGAAATTTATTTGAATTTAGATTGTAGGTCTGGGAATATGAAAAGCACATAAAGATATCGAACTAAGACAATACATCTTCCAATTGCTTTTTATGTGGCAAGTTATAAAGATGTTTTTCAATGATAACTAACGGATTCTGCTAGGTGGTTCAATTCGATTTATTGCTTTGTATATTTAGAAATTAACAAACTTCAATCAAGTTCGTTTAATTCATATTTAGCCGTTCAAAGTTATTTATTTACGACTAAATTCGTAATATTGTATCTGAATAACTATAAAAATTATAATTCAACAGGATGTGAAACACACGTTATATTAATATTGAATTTATAGATAACATAAGAAGATTTTTATTTAGCTCTTTTTTCAGGAATATTAAATATGGTCATATGGTCCCATATACTAATTTATAGAAAGTATATAAATATCAAAAACAACAAACAGGAGTAAGGGATGCGGTGATATCTGTCAGCAGAGGACGATCTCCTATTCGATGGACAGATGATATTAAGAAAAAGGCTGGAAACTGGATTCAAGAGGCACAAAATAGAAAGATATGGCTAGAGTTGAGGGAAGCTTTTGTGTACGAAATAAGCTAAATGATGATAATGATTATTCAAAAGTACTCACAATCTACGCTGACTTTGATTCTTTTGCTTACAGTTGGAGGTACACCATTACTAGCAATGCAGAGGTATGCCCCCATATGTAAACGAGATATCTTAATAAGTTCTAGTTTATCACCTTCCCATTCGGCAACTGAAACAAAAGTTAATATATTTTAAATGTGTTTTCTCCTTTGATACTCGTTTACCTTGGAATGTTTTATTGATGGAAATTTTGGTATTATCGTCTCTTTTCCATTTCACACTGGGTTCGGGAAATCCAGTAGCTTTACATGTAAGAGTTTCGTTTGAACCTTCCCTTACAATTACGTCACTGCTGCTCAACGAATCATCGATGTTGGGTGGAACTGAAAATAAAAGAAAATTTGGATAGTTAAAGATTTTAATACATTACAAAAACCTACTTCCTACTTTTATCTATTTTTTTTTAATTTATTAAAACGTTTTTACGCTGAATCGTAAATGGTCCGAAAGCCAGTACATTGGTTAAACACAATCAATAAAATTTGCGCTGTGTAGTCAATTTGAACAAACGAAATATAAATGATATAAAATTCATTATGTAATTAAAGGCGTTTTTTGGGCGTTTGTTTAACCGATCTCCGTATTGAATTGAACATTTTCAAATAAAATAAATGCCACAAAACTAAAAATATATAGAACATTTAATTTGTTAGTCATGGCGACAAAAAGGTAATTAAGGTTTTAATATAGTATTTGTTTGTCACAGCAAGTAGGGTGAATGTACCATTAGTCGCCACTGTACCAGTAATTGCCACTCTTGGCTCAATTAATTAGAAAACAAGCAAACTCTTTGAAATATTTTCTAATACGCCATCTCTTATTTAAAATTTGCCCTTTAGAAATAAATATCTCAATGGAAAGATTTCTAATAGATGTTGTACCAAAATCAATTTCACTTACATTTCACCGTCTCTACTAGATTAAACTATTATTAAATTAGGGTAGATTTGCTTGAAGTCCATTCCCTGTCTTTTATTTTGTTCGTCTATTCCAGTACCCACACAATTCTCCAAGCCCTTTTTATTTTACAGCCCATGTATAATAGGAAATAAATTAACAGGGAACGTATGAAAGTATTTAGAAAGTCTGTACTTGTTTTGTCCGATCTAACAGAAAGTTATAACTTCTGAAAAAGTGGTCTTTTGGAAATTTGAACGCCCTGGCACTTGTGCATAGAGCAAGATTGAAGGTGGTGCACAGGGAACAGCGGACTCAAGATGAACTTTAACCCCCTTCTGCCCAAGGGTTGGCATTACTATTCGGCGCAGCACCTTCAATGTTCGGTGTTGCAAACTTTTTAACTACTCGAATTCATTACGAATTTCTATTCTGATAAAAGTACGTTTCATTTCACTAGATGCGTGGACGTAGCGTACATACTAAACATTGATTACGCTAGAAAATAGCATCTGCTGTTATTTCGTTTTATTTTCTGTGTCTTTTTGTGCCAAAGGGGCGTTTTCATTAAAAATATTTAATGATTAATCTTCTATTAAGTACATTAGGGTACAATAACTTGTAGATGATGATCAGGAAGAATGGCGGAATTTATTTCAACAGGGCAAACCGCGCTGTCTTGCTATTGGGAAGGTATTTACATGTGTAGAAGTGAATCGCGTAGGGATATTATTAAGTCGGAGTGAGAAAAATGCGATGGTGTAATGTTGCGGCGTTGCCACATTTATCGGAGGTACAGGTGCTCTTTTCCCTGGTCGAAAAGGGAAAGATCTTTTTCGGGAAGATAACTAGATAATATCATTAGATATGTTTCTGGGCATTTGAAATCGAGTTATAAGAATATGAATGGTGTCCATTTTTTCATAATGGCAAAACGTCAATAAACTCAATTTTTTAACACATAACACGCGATAACTCAAGAATCATTATAGATATTGAAACTTTCTTTTTTTATTTTGAAGGTCGGATCTTAGACAAGATGTTTAAATGAGGAAAATTTGATTGGCTTCTTTTTTTCATTCAGAAAATTTAAAAAACGCGTCCATTAACTTTTAGTGCATGGCAATTTTCACCAGTCGTGTAACTTTTTGTTTGTAAAGATTTTCACATAGGTACTGTCTGCGAATATATAGCTGAAACACTGAGAGATTTAAAAAAAAACAATCAATTATTTCTAATGAGATATTGATTCTTGAATTTAGAGTTCTCTGTCTAGCGCCAACCCAATTTCACTTATTTTTGCAAAAATCACAACAATTCGGTAATAAATAAACAAATAAAGTATAATGAGACGTAACTAAACCGTGAATCTGACCGCATGAATACACCCTTCCCTAGAATTCCAATTTTTTGGATTCATTTTTTTAATTTTATGTTTATGCGGCGTGACCGTGTTGACCGCGACGAAGCTGCCATATCCCCTTCTACGTCTTTTAGCAATGTGACAGTTTCTCAGTTTATTTCATACGTTTGGCAACGTGTTTATTCTGCTCTTTTTGTTCAGTACATTAAAAATGCATTGTACTTTCTTTACATACGGAAATCTCGACCCAAACCCAAACCTTGCCGATCCTTATATATAATTTTATAATAATATAGAACGTAGTTAATAATAATTAATAATATGAAATCGATATTAAGTTATGTGTATTGTTGTTGCATACATATTTTTGTAAATGCAAATAGGGTTGTGAAACTTAGGTAACCGATTTAGCAAGACGTTGCTACGCTTAAATCTTTAAATCCGATGTAAAAACTAGTTTTATCGAATTTGGAGTTGGGCCCGACACGAAATTCGAACGGAAACGAACACTGTTTGATAATAAAGTTAAAAGTTTTATAAACTTTCGTTTTGCAAAACCGTTTCAGCATTTTTAATGTATGTAAAGTCATGTATGTGGCGGGTTCACGTGTTTGCCCGTGGAAAAGATTCATAGCTTAGCAGTAAATTGGAAAATCGGATTTTTTCCCCTTCACTATAAATCACAGTTGATATATAAATATAACTGTTTAAGTACGTTAAAAGCTTACTAAAATAACACATTTAATGGATTATTTAACAAATTATTTGTTTTATTAAATTAATTTTTAAATTAAAATTAATTTTAGTAACTTTTAATTTTGTTGCTTCTATATACAACCTAATAAGAATTAACTTATTCTACCTTTTTATTTGTTTAATATTCTGAACGTTTTCTGATTCACAAAAAGAATAAAATATTTTGGTTATTAATAAAAATATCTGGCAGAGGTTGAAAGATGCTTGACGGTATAAAGAAATATAGAAAGTTCTAAAAATTTAAATATATAAGATGGTTTTGGTCGAGCGGACAGGAAGATAATGAGGTTTGTCCGTTTCAAGTATCTACCCTATTGAGAGTCAGGCGTTCAGTGAACAATGATTTTGCTCTCCGGAGGATATTGCCAACTTGTCTGTCCTATCTTTTCGGAGTAAAACACGAAACAATGAAATTGGAAAGCTAAAAATTTTATTGCAATAATATCTGCGCAGCGTTTTATTTTCATTTTTGTGTCTGTACGTCGTCATTTCGGCTCGATATACACCAATTTCAAAGCAGTCTTGTATTACTAGCCCGAAATATGGTCTCTAAGTTATACAGGGTATTCCAGAAATAAGTGCAAGTGTTTTAAGGGGTGGCAGATCTGGCCAAAAACATATTTCCTCTTTACCATTTTTAAATAAATTCCAATCGATAATCAGCCGCAAATACCAAGCAATTACTAGAATCTCAGCTTGTTCGACGCCCAGTGTTTATTTAAAATTGTGACCTTTTAACTTATAAACATACAGAATGTGGATAACATAGGAGGTGACAACATTACATTCTCTCGAAGCACTATAAACAAAATTTCGAAAACTGAACAAGCGGCACTCAAAAGTTTTTCAATATTTTCCGGAAAATGTCAAGAAAAATATAAAAATTTCAACATTTTTTTATGCGCAAAAAAACCTCATGGGCGTGTTTCTGGTTTCGAACTATACTACCAGTTAAATGCACTTATTTCTGGGACACCCTGTATACACGCCCACTAATATTATAAGAATAACAATTTAATTTTTTTTTCTCATGAAATAAGTTGGACAGTCTTAAAATTAGAGGGTTAAAAAATGAAAGCAGTTAAAGAATGAACTTTAATAAGTAAAAACTTCTTAAGCGTGGCGATAAATAAAAAAGTTAAAAACATTTTATTCCTAAATGAAAAATGGGTGGCAAACAGCAGAGCTGTAATTAAAGTGATGAGGAAAACCGCTGTTAAGACTGAACAATTCTCTTAAATTATAAGTTACAAACATTAATTTCTTAATTAACAACTGTGACCTCATAAGTTATTGTTCATCTGTTCCTACAGATCCCGAAACAAAAAGATGAAACTTGCCTCCGTTTTCAGTAATTAATTGCAATACTTTTGACAATGCAGCTGCAGATTATACAATTGCTTACAACCTGAACTTTTCGATGCAGTCAGTACCTTTGCCTCAGCTTTCTTTGCACTAATCCGCGTTGGCTTTGAATATTCTCTTAAACTCACGTTATTCTAAACTACGTCAGAATTATTAAAAATAAACATTATTCAAACTTTTTATTTCAAAGAAAGTCGATACTATTCAAAAAGTGTTTATTAAAACATTCTAGATGTAGGCCTAGAAAAATATCTTGTATAGTATACGTCGATGTATGACGAACCCACTCGCAGTGGATCTGGTATCCAACAAGGTTAATCTGAAACGTGCACAGAATGGCTAGAATACCGCTTCCTAGGTGGCACTATATAATTTAACAAGCGAGAATACATGCTCATAAGGGAAACTCTCATTATTTCATCACCTGAGAAGCACAATGTTGTCTCTCTCTCTTTCCTACCCTCACTTCTTGATTAGTTCTCTCTAATTATGATATAGGCTGTCGATCGATCTCTTTGTGGTAATTTTATACACATAGAAATTATTTACTAATTACCAGATTAAAATATTTTATGAAAGAAAAAGTCTTCTGTATGTTACAAATTTCTCTCGAATCTCTTTTAAATATAAAATGAAATTTCTTCCTAATACTGTCAATCTTTTTTTGATCTTAAAACCTTTATGATACACGTACTTTTCTTATGGGGTTTTCCCGCTTTAAATTTCCCACTTTGAACACGTACCAGAGATAAATTTGACGTTAACTGCCAAACGCTTATAATCAAATTTGGTTTTCTCTCTTCCGCATTCATTTATGAGATTTGCTAGATCTTTTATCTTGTTTTCCTAATAAGACTATGTAAAAAAGTTGAGAAACCAAGCTCATTTATTAAAAATATTTGTATATATTTTTTTAAAATTTAATTTGCATTTCTAATATAA